AGAGTGTCCCACAAGAGTGTCCTACAAGAGTGTCCCACAAGAGTGTCCTACAAGACTGTCCCACAACAGTGTCCCACTGGAGTGTCCCACAAGAGTGTCCCACAAGAGTGTCCCACAAGAGTGTCCTACAAGAGTGTCCCACAAGAGTGTCCCACAAGAGTGGCCCACAGAGTGTCCCGCAAGAGTGTCCTACAAGAGTGTCCCACAAGAGTGCCCTACAAGAGTGACCCACAAAAGTGTCCTACAAGAGTGTCCTACAAGAGGAGTGTCCCACAAGAGGAGTGTCCCACAAGAGTGTCCTATAAGAGTGTCCCACAAGAGTGTCCCACAAGAGTGTCCCACAAGAGTGTCCTACAAGAGTGTCCTACAAGAGTGTCCCACAAGAGTGTCCTACAAGAGTGTCGTGTAAGAGTGTCCCACAAGAGTGTCCTGCAAGTGACCCACAAGTTTTCTACAAGAGTGTCTCACAAGAGTGTCCTACAAGAGTGTCCCACAAGAAGTGTCCCACAAGAGTGTCCCACAAGAGTGTTCCACCAGAGTGTCCTATAAGAGTGTCCCGCAACAGTGTCGCTCAAGAGTGTCTCACAAGAGTGTCCCTGAAGAGTGTCCGACAAGAGTATCCCACAAGAGTGTCCTACAAGAGTGTCCCACAAGGGTGTCCCACAAGAGTGTCCTACAAGAGTGTCCCACAAGAGGGTCCTACAAGACTGTCCCACAACAGTGTCCCAGTAGAGTGTCTCACAAGAGTGTCCCTTAAGAGTGTCCTACAGGAGTATCCCACAAGAGTGTCCTACAAGAGTGTCCCACAAGAGTGTCCTACAAGAGTGTCCCGCAGAGTGTCCCACAAGAGTGTCCTACAAGAGTGTCCCACAAGAGTGTCCTACAAGAGTGTCCCACAAGAAGTGTCCCACAAGAGTGTCCCACAAGAGTTTTTCCGACAAGAGTGTCCTACAAGAGTGTCCTACAAGAGTGTCCCACAAGAGTATCCTACAAGAGTGTCGTGTAAGAGTGTCCCACAAGAGCGTCCTGCAAGTGACCCACAAGAGTGTCCCACAAGAGTGTCCTGCAAGTGACCCACACAAGTGTTCTACAAGAGTGTCCCACAAGAGTGTCCTACAAGAGTGTTCCACAAGAGTGTCCCACAAGAGTGTCCTATAAGAGTGTCCCACAAGAGTGTCCTACAAGAGTGTCCCACAAGATTTTCCTACAAGAGTGACCCACAAGAGTGTGCTACAAGAGTGTCCTACAGAGTGTCATGCAAGAGTGTCCTACAAGAGTGTCATTTGGACATATTAGTTTTTCGAACGTGTTTGCGTTCGGGTTCGTGGGTTCCATCTTGTTTTGTTGCTCTCAAAGCGGCCGATGTCAGTGATGAATATATAAGTGATATGGGTTTAATTGAATGGCGGGGGGGTTCAATCATATCGGTGTATAGATGTGTATAGTATGATTTCTTGGCTCGTTCTCCAAGCCTCCGGCCGTGCCTGATCCAGGTTTCGCGGCTTTTGCTTCGTCACATTTGCTTCCGTTGCTGAAGCCCAGGTGTGGTATCTTGCTCTTCTTACTCTTGCTCTTTTGATTGCGGTGGGTAAGGGCAGATGGCAAAACTGCTCAAAATGCGATTGCAACTCTACTGTAAAAAGTGGTAATTAGACAACTGCCCAAGCTACTTAGCTTTTTCGGGCGGTCGGCTCTTTGATGATTCGTAGGCGGTTTTTGACAACTACGACAACAACATGTTCAATGGCAACTTGGCTTGAGAAGTTTTAGATTGATGGCTTTGATGATGAGCAAACTGCTTAGGCAGGTGGATTGACTGCAAGCCAGCAGCAATGGGAAAGGCACAGCCAAGATCTCAGAGTTTTTGACACCACAATTACCGGCCGGGTGAGTAGGTTTGAGGGGATGGTGTAGATGCATCAGCGCGAGTGTGTTCAGCCCAAACCAATGGTACGTTTTCGCTAACCTTTTTTGGATTGACACAAACAGGTGTTTCCGTTTGCAACTCTTATCCAAGCGAACCATCTGAGGGACCCGTCAGCAGGGCAGCCACCTAAGCAGATACCCTGGGAGAAGGCATTTCCAGCTCGGCAGTTGAATCGCAAGGCCTTGTGTTTTCTGCACAATTGGAGGCTGCTCCACCTCCCACAGGTTCCACGTTGGCCGCCTACGTGTGTGTAATGACAACACTTGAACATTTGATATATCCTGCCTGTGGTGGTGCAGGGCTCTGCCAATCTCAATTGCAGAACTGCAGCATCTCAGGCTTCGTGCTCGAGGTTTGCCCTTCTCCGCCACCAAAGAGCAGGCATGAAGAAACATCCACTAATCCCAATCATTTTTGCAAAGGCTTGTGATGAGGGGCCTTTCTTGCCGCAGGTGGAGGAGTTCTTTGCAGGCTATGGCATGCCAAGAGCCTAGGGCACAACCAAAAGTGTTGACACAATCATGATCCTTCGCTGCAAGGACCGGCAGATTTCACAACAAGCTCGACTATATGGGCCGCCCATCAGGAGAAGTATTTGTGGAGTTCTTCAACAACGATGAGGCTTCGTGTGATGCTAACCAACAGTTACTTGTGACAATTGCTTCTTTTCACCTGCAATATTCATTCTCTTCAGAGGCTGTCAGAGCATTCAACGATCGCAACTTCCAAATGATGGGCAACCGATATGTCGAGTCACCAGCCAAGATCGCTGATTGAACATTGAACAACCAGAAGTTGGGCGCACCGTTTTGGCTCAGCAACTTTCTGATTTAGCTTCTTGTTAGCAGCACTTTCTAAGGCTCTTAGGCGCCAGTGACAAGGACGTTCAAATGTGCCCCACACAGTAAGGGGAGCTTCCTCAGATAGGCAGAATCAGTTGCGAAGTCGGCCAGGTACCTTGACAACAACGGAAAAGGAGCTCCAAGCACTTATGGTCCCATGAAAGGAGGCAAATCACGTGATGTATTACGTGATGTTTTGCTTAATAATTAGTCATGATGTGGCGTCCAGGGTTTTCCATTGCCAATCATGCAGGCAAGGGCTTCAAGGGATCATCGCCATACGACATGATGCAACCTGGCTGCCTAGGTGACATGAGGTCTTCCGTTGGTAGCTAGTTTAAGGCCGAATTTCAGGGAAGTTCCTTTTGGAGTTTTCGAGGCACCGATTTTGGAGAAGGGTTAATGAAAGCTCTCAAGAGAACTGCTATTGGATTGGCATGGATAGAAGCTGCGACCAGATGCCTTGGGCCCCTCCCGAGCATCGCTGACAAACATATTTTTGAGATGACATAGGTTCACGTGAGCCACAGAGTTACTATTTTAGGAAATGCAGATGCCCAGCTTCTGGGAAGCTGCAGGTTCAGGGATCAAATCCTCGCTGTGACAAAAACAGTGAGGTCGGCCTTTTTCGGCTACTAGTCCGACGAGATGAGGTGATTCGGGACGTGTCACCAAAGGTGGAGAGTTTTGACCTATGCCGGCGGACTGGGCTAATGGCCACGGTAAAGCAGGCGCAGATCATTCATTGTTTGCTAAGAAATCATTTTGGAGATTCCTACTCGTGTGATGTTCCTTGACTTTGTGGAGGCTTACTTGACATGTTTGTTCCAACACTAGTCACTAGGGCACCGCCAGATGAAGCAACTGTGGTTTTGGCTGTCATGACAGCATGGCTGTATAGTTGGCGTCAATGTGGTGCAGCCTCGCTGGTGGCAGTCAAGAAACTCATGGCTAGACTATTGCTGCATTACTGTTCTTGCTTATTTGCTCCTATTTGCTGCAAAAGTGTAAGAGCTTAAAAGAAGGCCTTGGGCCTTTGCGAGGGTGCGTAAGCGTGCCGCTCTCCAGTGCTGGAAGTGGGCGCAAGAGGTATCTTGGAGCTAACGTGTCTGACAAAATGATTCTAGTGGACGAGCAGTTCATTGAAGATGAATGCTTGACGTCAACAGCATGCCAACGGAAACTTGCTGAACCAAGTGTAGGGTTGGCGTGGCTCAAGCTCCATGAAGAGCCAGAAGTTGATCGATTGGCCGACAAAAATATCTCAGTGGATACAACTCCTGGCCAAGTGGCCACAGGGCCCCACGGACGCAGAAGCGCAACAAATTACCCCAGAACGACTCGATTTGAAAGGACTTGAAACCCGACTCAGCCATGTCTGCCCCGCAACGTGTCGCGCGCTTGCGCCCGCGTTCACGCTCACGGTGCTGAGCTGAGCTGGTGGAATGTTGGGGCCATGAGGTGGCCATATGTGGCCTGTGGACAGCTGTTGACTGTGAGAGGTCTCGAGACGTCAAAGCCTCCCTGTGAGGGACTTGGAAGACCTGAAAGCACAGCTCATCAAAGCACTTCTACAGCCTGACTGCATAAACATATTTGCAGCTCATGCTGCATGCTCCTTTCAGACGTGTCGGATTTGGGTGAATTGGGATGGAATAGGCCAAGAATAACAGTCGCAGAGATTCGAGCACCTTCCTTGTGGCCAGGGGCAAAGCAGAGCGGAGCCCCGAGGGTCGCCCTGAGGGCCGGCGCCGGCGCCGGGGCGGCCGCGGCCGTGACGGCCGGGAGGGCCGAGAGGGCCGTGAGGGCCGAGAGGGTCGGGAGGGTCGCAGCGGCCGTGCGCGGCTCAAGAGACGGAGTCGAGGCAGGGTACGGCAGAGATGTTTTGCATATTTTATCATTTTTCATTGACAAACTCAGTTAACAAATTCCATCAAATTCATATCATGGGTTTTAGGATCGTGATTGCGTGAACATGGTCCATTGAGTCGAGTGTCATCAAAGATGTGAGCCAGGAGTCTGAGGTGATGTCAAGTGTCCTCTGCTTTTTCCAACGATCCAAACTTAAATGATCTTAAACGTGTTTGGCTAATTGTTGGTTTATTTGAGATTTGCTTGCACGCGTGCCGAGTCAGCATATTGAGCGTGTCTGGTTCACTGGTTGCAGGAGGGTAAGCCGGGTAAGCTCTTATATGACAACTTGATTTGGACTTGCTATAGTTGGTTTGTGGTGGCTTTGGGCTGTCAGACTTTTGTTCTTGTCTCTCTGCCTTTCGTTTTGTAGGGGTGATAGCTTTTAGCTTCCGTGGCTTTGTGACTTCGGTGGCTTCTGACCTTCGCGCTTGTTTTTTGTAACTGTTGCCATTTGTTGCTTTTGGGCCTGCAACATCAGCGTTTGTTGGCTTGTATCTCCTTTCCGGTGCTTTTCGCAGCGTCCAATTCGGTGGCTTGTGCTTCCGTGGCTTCGGTTTCATTGGCATTTCGTGTGGGTTTGGCTGCTTGGTTGCTTTTGAGGCTGGCCATCACACCAGAATTTTTCAGCCATGAAGAGTTTGACGACGTGTTCACACAGGGTTTTGGATGTTGATAGCGGGAGGCCCCTCCAGCTTTCCGTGTTCAATTGGGGCCCTTAGCACTGTTCGATTTTCGGGCACTATTCAATTCTTTTTTAAACAAAGCTTTGGGCCACTAAGCTGTACGTTCCTAAGATCGTACCTGCGAGGGGGTGTTTGCTTGCCTTCTGCTATCCAGTCGCCGCTTGCATTGCGAATCACACAAGACAGTGATATAGAAGTTTAGAAGTGATGATAAGTCCAGTAAATGTTGGGATCCTCAGATCCTGGAAAGCTTCAGGTTCCCAAAGTATCACACATTCCCGCAATTGAAACCAGGGCCCTCATCCCAGACCTATGTCTCAAATATCTCCCAACAAACCCGCTGCTTGGAAAACTGCCTAAGTGACTAAGTGCGTTGCTTCCCGGGCCTAGGGACCACGTCACGCACTTCCCCAGGCAGACGGCGGCGGCGCCATGAGCACGGAAGGCGTCATAGAAGACGAAGGCCCAGCCGCGGTCGCAGACGAGGCAGGATGGAGTTCCAAAGTGGGTAGAGAGAAATAGATGACCGATAGAGTTCCAAAGACGTTAGATTGACAGATCAATTAGAAGGAGTTCGTCATTTAAGGAACAGTGAAAGGCATCAAGCACAACTTGTTAGACACATTTAGAGACTTATCCCAAATGCCTTGGCTTTCGGCTCGCTGTGAGGTCGCAGACGAGGAGGTGCTCGCCATGGTCGGAGGAGGAGAAGGAAAGCGCCATTTGCTCAAGACCTTATCGCTCCGTTGCCTTGGGATGACTAGTCGTCCAGCATCACTCAGGTCACAGGAAAAACCGGCCTCTGACGGGCCCGAGGAGTCAGAGGCCGAGGAAGGCACAGCAGACGAGTCAGAGGAGGCCCGGCAGGTCGAAGGAGGCCCGGCAGGTATCCGGTCGAAGGTTCGCCTGAGTGTTCAGGCTGAGAGTGAAGAGGCATCTGAAGAAGAAAAGGAAGACACACAGAAGGTTCGGCCCGCTCGGGTACTTTCCGATGACTCCTTTTCGATCCTTTTCCAGTTTGTGAAGTTCCATCGGATGATGGGCCAGGAGGAGGCCCTGAAAGCTGCGCAAGCTGCTTTGGCTGATGCTGAAGCGGAAATGCAGGTGAGGAGAGCTAGGACGACTTGGGATGACACGATGCCTGGTGCGGTTCTTGCTGGCTTTGCTCCATTAGACTCCCATAGGCATACTGCAAGCTGTGTTTAGAGATGGCACCGTGCGCAACTGGGAGCCAGTCAATGAGAATACGCCAGGCTGCTCAGACAGAAGTCTCGGAAGCAGAAATGAAGCTTCTCAGCGCAGAATCGGAGGCGTCATCTTGTGCCTGCATACTGTGCATAAATCACCTGCTGAGCAGAGAACGTGAGTCGGTTCGAAGCTCATTGTTTACCTACTGCTTCTCCTGTACAACTGACAGAGTGTCAGGCAGATGAGGCTGTCTCGAAGCAGGCGCTGTGCCCGCTAAGCATGGCATGGAGTTTCGGAAGTCGAGACCTTCATGACCTTCATGCATCTCAAGGTGGTTGAAGCTGGGCAGCAGGCTCGCGTTGACCTAGATGAGCAGCTGGCAGCCCAAGATACAGCACACCTTAACGGGTTCAGCTGACTCCAAGGTTGGCGTTAAGGCAGTCCTCCATGCTCTCTTTGGTTTCCTTGAGGCTTCGTGTAGCGAAAGAGGATTTCGAGATTGCCCGGGAAGAAGCCATGCAGAAAGCGCGAGATGACCTCCAGGCAAAGCAAGATTTGACCCAGTGCCAAGATGCAAAGCCTTGTAAATTCATGCAAATTCTAGAGCCTTGCGGCTTGCACCTTTTGCACGCCTTAATAAGTCTTGCAAGATCTAGTTTGTGTCGCAACTGGCGCTGCCTTTAGCAAGTCTTTTGTGACGTTGGTGTGGCTGGGGTTCATTCCGCAGTGTGTTGATGTGGATATGCTGTGCAGGCCGCCCGGGATGAGAAAATTGCGGACGCGCACCGGGAGTTTGAAGAAGGTATGGAGAAGGCTGGTTGTGCCAGACGGGATGAGGTGTTGTCAAGAACCTGAGCATGGAATTGCGTGTGCAGGCAGAAACACGCATCCAGCAGGAAGTTGCAAAAGCCCTTCTCTAAGATTGGGGAAAACTGGGCGGATGAACCAACAGCAGATCGACTTTTAGGTCCACCCTTCTTGGGTCTTTCCGAGGCCATGGAAGATGAAGAAGCACGGCTGAAAGAGCAGTCTGCTGCCAGTGTGGCGAAGGCCAAGGAGGAGATTTTCAAGGAGGCGAACCCATGAGGGCCGAAATGAGGGCCAAGATCGTCGGCCATCTCCGTGGTGGTTTCGGGTCAGGTCTTGGCGGATTGATATAAAGTCCGCCTGGAATGGTGTCGAATCCTGACTCCCGAACAATCCCCGCCACAGCTTCAGCTACACGATGCTTTTTTCAGGCAATCCCAGCGGCTCAAAGAGAAGCAAAGGAGTCTGCTCAGAAGAGGTGGCGAAACAAGCAAGTGCAACACAACTTCGATGGAAAGGACATTGACCAAGACACACGGCTCAGCTGTATGGCTGGGGTTGTATATATATATATAGTATAATATGTGTGATGTGTGTGTGATAATATAGCATCCAGCTGTTCTTGTCAGTGTGAAGAATCACGAGAATTGTATCTACTGGCGTTTTGAGAATTCGTCGGGCGACTTGAGCTGAATGTCTTCCGGCTACAGGCCGGTCCCATCGCTGTTTTGGGCTGGGAAGCGCGACACCGATCGGATCCCCCTTCCACCCTGTGAGTGGAATATTGGACACCGCAATGGCAATGCTTCTGTGGGCACTCACGTTTCATTTGGCCACTTGAACGAACTGTGTTGAAACGGAGTAGCGATGCCCTTTGTTCCTAGTAGCGTCCGTGCTTCTAGTAGCGATGCCAGGAGCCCCTAGTAGCATCCTTGCTCCTAGTAGCGATGCCCTTTGTTCCTAGTAATAAAGTGGTCGTTTTGATTTGATTTCTGAGGTGACAGCATATCCGTCGCTGTTGGATTGCGATTATAGCTGCATGGGTAGCTACACACCTGGTGCAGCATTCAATTATATGAGCGTGGCGACGATAGGTCCCTTGTCCAAGATTGGAGCGGGTGAGCGAACCTTAAAATTATTCGGTATTTTCCAGTGCCCAAGCAAGAAGGGCATCCTTCCTGTCAACTGCAGGTGCGACCTCTGGTGATACATGCAAAATAACCACGAACATCCCAACTGCTCCTTGGGCAATTGTTTGATGCCGCATGTTTCACCGGCTGGTTTGGGTGATGTTGGATTTAGATGAATTATGACACATGGATCCAAAAAACGTGACATGCCCAGGATGGCTACCACCCTACAGCTTCCTATACAGCCTCGTGGCATTTCAGTCAGTCGAGCCGGTGAGTCGTCTTCCGCCGCTTTGCCGACGAGTGTTGAGGTCACCGTGACCTCTACCACGGCGCCCCTTGGCGACGCTTCTCGAGGTTTTTGTGGCCATATGACCATGACTAGTAGCTTCTTGTTCCTAGTAGCGCATTCCAGGAGCCCTAGTAGCTTCTTGTTCCTAGAGTTTCTGGAGCGAGTCAATGAGGTTGGCCCAAAAAGTCGTCTGCAGTGCCGGTACCTTTGGAAGCCTCACACAAGCGAACGCCGGCAGCGAGGAGGGACTGTCCGTCATTGCGTTGATAGTGTTCTTGGTGCTGGTGTTGGTAGTTGTGTGTTTGTTTGATGATCCACGTTGCTTTTAGCTTACCGGTGCTGGTCATTGTTTGGCCGAACGACTGAGTACGCGGTCGCTTCGTTCACTACGGTCCATGCACGCAGGAAACCAGCCACAGCCACTGCCCGAGAAACTGTAGAGTGGAGCAGAATTTGTGGATCCATATGTGCAGCTCTGTGTTGTGGACTCCAAGGCTATACCTGGACTGCACCTTCCTCGACATCTGGAAGTGCTTCTTTCAGTGTCCTGGATGTGAGATGCCTGCATTCTTGGTGGAATTTGCTCGTTGCGCGTGGGTTGCCTCCCTTCCAGACAAATGCTAAATAAGAGATGAGAAACCTGTGGTACTATTATGCAAACACCTTTTGATTCTTTAAACATTGACCGAGTTGAATTGGTTTACCTTACTTTGCATAAACGTTGTTGGATGTCAGTTTTTCCCTATTTGTGCATCCATTTTGGTCCAAGCAGAGTCGTTGGAGGATCTTTTAAAGAACCATAAGTTTCTTCCATCATCAAAACCTCACATGCTTTTCTTTATGAATGCATATCCATTGTATATATATATATATAGCGTCCCTAGTGCAAAGCACCTTCGATCTACCAAATCCTCCTCCTTTCCAGTATTCTTTGCGCATATGAGGGTCATATACGCCCTCATCCCACTAAAAGTCCCCCCATCTTCCCCAAGTCTCATTGTTGATACCAACTGGTTAAACATTTCACAACTGCTGACCTTTGCATCAGTGCCTTCCTTTGCGTTGGGCCTTAATGGTCTCACTTAATGGTCCCACTTCTCCTTCAGAAAGTCGTTTCTTTTGTCGGAATCTCCTCATCAACAACAACAGTCTCTTCATAATCAATGGACCTTACTTCCCCTGTGGCAGTGTTTATCCTTGGTGAACCTGCTCACAGAGCTTCCCTTAATAGAGCTTCCCTTCTTCTCTCAAATCCTCCTTTATCATATGTGTGCGTCCTCCTTCAGAAAAGCCCCCTCCTTTGCAAGAGTTCTATTGTCTAGAAGCATTTGTCATCCGGCACGCCAGTATTTTCCTTGCGTAGTCTCTTCCTTCGGGGAATGCTCGAGCAACTCACAAAACAAAGATTCAGGGCTTTTCTACTGGGGGCTTCTGAGGTGGAAGAGTGGTGGTTTTATTTGTTTCTCGATTCTGTGGTCTTGCTATTTAGTTAGACTTGATTGTTTTTGTTTCTTTAGTTTCCTTCTGCAGGGAGAATGCTTTTTGCAAAGAAGCAGGCTTTAAAAGGCAAAGGGTTTGGATAAAGTGGATGGTGGAGGCTGTTGCAGACCTCTACAAGGGCTATTTACTCTCCTGCAGCGCGCATTTTCTTTCAACCACTGATCCGCGCTTTTCGTTATTTTCTGCACTAAGGGGCGCTCTGTGGCAATCAGGGTGAAATGTGGTATGCAGCTGAAGTGCACCTTCGATGCAAGACTTCTGCCGAGTTTTTCCCGTTGCAATGGACCTCCAGATAGGTGCCGGTGCTGGGGTTTTCATAGACGGAACAGAAACAGAATCACACAGCTTACATGGCAACAGATGCTTCTTGGTCAGGTTCCTAAAGACCTTTCAGTCACCCAGGACGGAGAGTGTGGGCAGTGGACCATTCACCACAGCGACCACTAGCACCACCAGCACGACAACAGCGGCTGGGGATGCTGCAGGCGTGGAGAAGAGGCATAGGGAAAGCAAACGGTGCAAAGGTTTTTTGGATGGTTGTTGCAGGTGTGGAAATTGGTTCTGGCATGCGGATGTATGCAGATGTTGCTAATGGGCAGGACGCTGATATCGAGGTGCCAGAGAAAGGGATGGGAGGACCTGGGAGGAGGAAGAAGTCGAATGGACGTAGAAAATGATGTGCCACCCAGGTGACGTCCACGGGCGATGGCTGGAGTGCTCTTGGATTTATCGAAGGCTCCAGTGTCTCTATGACTGGTGGCAGCGGTGGTGGCAATGATGCCTTCATTTGCAGCGGTGGAGAGGTGAAGCGGTACTGGCAGCTCATCTCCGCAGCTCATCGTTTTTCACCTTGATAGACCTTCTATATCCTTCTATTCTTTCTTCTTCTCTTTGTAGTTATACGGTATAACCGTATACCATAGTTCTACCGTTTTTCAATTTTTTCCCTTCTGGACACATCTTTGACGCCCCCCCCCAGCTAGGGCCGGTGGACACTTCAGATCCCAAGATTTGTCGCAGAGATCATCAAATTTCACCATCCTAAAGAGATCACTTCTGTTACACTTACACATGTGCAAATTGCGCTGAAACGGTGCATCTCAGGATTACCAGCTACACGACACCGTCTGGTGGCGTTTGTGCCCCAGTACCGAGCGTCCCTCAAAACAACCGCTTTCGGGCTGTGCAGAGTTCCAACTCAGGTGGCAGTTCCTGGTTCTTCGTGCTCCATGGTCTCAGGCAACAGGGTCATGCGCTTCAAGAGACCCTTGGCTGCTTCAAGTGCCACCGAAATTGCAATGACTCCCGGCACTTCTCAGATGGCCACTTGCTTGCATCTCGCGAACCATAGATTAACGACAGATAACGACAGTGTCCGAAGTTCATAGGTCCAGGTGGCTGAGAACGAGATAGAACGAGAAGCAGGTTGCCTATACAAGTATTGCAAACATAGCAGAAACAATCAATATCAACATGGGGAACAAGAAGCGCAGCTTGACAAACCAAACAAGCGCAAGAGAAGGAGTCGAGAAATGCAGCACCCAGGTGATTTGGGCTCATGGAAACTCGCCCACACTGTCGCAGCATGGCAGTTCCGGTTCAGATCGAGGCGGTTCGATGGTGGACTTTGCCACGCTCTCCGCTGTAGGCGACGCTCTTGGAAGTGAAGTAGTCAAATCTTTCAGCACCACTATCAGTGTGAAGGCAAAGTAAGTATGCCCGCTACTAGGAACGAGGGCATTAGCAGCGATGCACTTGTTACTAGTAGGGTATTGAAACATATAAATATGCATTTCCATGCCCCTTGGCGCGTAGCTTGTTTGTATATGTTTAATCCTTTTCGCACGATTAGGGGCGACAAAAGCAGTTGGGCCTGCTCTCTTTCTCCACGTGATCTTGATGGCAGCTTGCCTTGTATACGCTGTGGACAAGCAGTATGCTTTCACCCTCGTCATTGTTGCTCTTGCAGATTGCTGTAAGCAGATTGTGCACGATGGACCTGCAAGCTATTTGCTATAAGAGTCTTGCTCACCTGTAGCACACTGAAACACGAAATTCATGGGCCTATGGGTGTGCCACGGGATAGAACTATTCCCAACGGATGGCCAGAATTCTAAGGTGATTGGCTGGGGCACTTTATTGCCTTGGGGCGTAGCTATTGCCAACCGAACTCGGACGGTCTCAAATGCGAAGCCTGGCGCATGGCAACTTGACCCATTCAGCCTTTGCACTCTGAGAGAGAGAGAGATGATATGTTTCAGGGCTGAGAGGATTCGTGAGTCGTTTGTCGTGGAGTTTGAAGCTCCGATACTGCTAAGGTTTAAATGGCACAAGAGGCTTCAAAGTATAGGAGCCTCGCCAGGCAGCTTCCAAAGCCCACCAGCTCTCTTTTTAGCTGCCCCTGTGGTAGCCAATGTTGGGATGAGGGTCAGTGGGAAGCCACATTCGGAGGCTGGCAGTTGTGCAAGTGCGTCCGCATCGTATGATATCGTATGCACTTCCCCTGAGAAGCATTGTTTGCTGTTGGTTCTTTCCAGTGCCCACCAAGGATGGCTGATTCAGCTGGTTGGTTTTGGAATGGCGATTTGGCATGTGCAAGAGTATCTCGGCAGCATGGTGGTGGAGGATGCGAGATATCCGGGTGCCACTGCAAGGAATGGCACGCACTTCAGTGGCCCTCACCAGATCATTGGTCTAGGCGCATGCCACTGACCACTTCAAGACGTATGATTTTTTGCTTAACTGCCAGAACAACGCAAGGGAACCCGAAATTGAACCAGCTTGCTGCCAGTTGTTGTCATTATTGGCACCTCCCAGCCCTTCAACGCACTGCTGCGGAAACTCTGTGCGCATCCGATGCTGGGCACATATCCGGTCGTTTTTGTGTTTTGCAGGATCCCGGTGTTTGCTGCAGAAAGGCGCTTGCAGTTGTAAATGTGGAGCTGAGGTGGGCTTTGCTGCCGAAGGGAGTAGGCACAAAACGAGAAGTGCATTGGGTAGAAACAACGGAAAAGACTTAAGGTAGATTGCAGCCAAGGACTCCGGGTGACGACAAGACTACTGGCCGCCTTGTTTGGGAGATTGCCCACAAAGGTAGCTTGTCCACATTTTTGATGCCTGTTGTGGGGGGCTGCTTGAAGCCACCACTTGCAAATCCAAACAAATTGGAAGACCCGGTGGGGGGCTCTCAGCATACTTTCAGCCGGAGGCCTCCCCATTCAAAAACGACTGAAAGGGGACTTCACTGAAATTGCAAGCTGCAAGGCATTGCAAAGAACCTAACATACCTTTCAAAGGTGCTAGAAGTCTGGGGCGGAGTCGCTGAATCACTGAAGATGGACCACGCCCACGAGAGATTGTTCTGGACTCCAAAGTCTCTGGCCAACCCACCGAGCTTTTGTTCGCCACGAAACAGCCAGGAACCAAGATGAACCAAGCTTCAACTCAGGACTGGGCTATTTTGCAACATTGCTGGGCATGGTGTGCCTCGGAAAGACTTGAACAGTCCTTAAGCTCAGAAGTCCCCACACTCCACTCGTTGAGGACGCCTCCGGACCAACGGGTCGACCGGACAAGCCGCACTGCATGGGCATCATTGAAAGGTACGAACGAGTGACGTGTGGTGCAACGGCTCAGGAATTGCTGGGTGGGAGTTGCTTTGCTGATCAAGGGCGAGTACGAAGTTGCAGCTATTGCAGTAGCATGGCATCAAACGATAGTTTGTCTTTGCCCGCACAGGGCAGAAGGATTGACACTTCGTTTGCTGGGCTGCCGGACTCAGGTAGCTGCGACCCTCAGTTCGATTGGCACACTATCCGCAACTTGATCAAGAAATGACCACCGCAGCAGTGGGACATTCGACAACATGCACGGGAATTCACACAAGGGCATGTATGGCTTGAGCCGTTCTGTTCATTTATATACCTCCTGTACTGTACCCTCCTGTCTTCGTGTGACTTCGTGTGACTTCGTGTGGGGTCACGTCTGGGGTCAGGTCACCTTTTACTTCATTCTGCGGCTGGCCTGCATTGCTCGCACTGATCGCACTGATCGCTTGCACAGCAGCGCCGCGTTTTGCACCGCTGAGGTCATTGATCCAGAAGGACAACTGCATTTCCCGGATGCTCGTCTCTCGGCAGATGACATACTCTTCGGGAATATCTTTTGGTTCGAAAGACTGATGACCTCTGAGGTGTCATCAAGTCATGCGGCGGTGAAAGAAATTGCTGATGAAACAAGTGATGAGAGGCCATCTGCATAGGTCATAGGTGTACAGTCGACCGGTCTGGCGCGACAAGCCTTTCTTGGGCTTTTGAGAGGGCTTGTTCTGCCGGTTAACGACTTTTGTGCATAGGTTTCTGCAGTTTAAAGCTGGCTGTCAGAAGGCTAATTGACACCCTGCCATGCTTGTATAGGTGCAATGATGCAAAGTCAATCGCTAGAGCCCTTTGCCAAAGGGCAGCTGGGGTTTGGGCGGTCTGCACAGAGTTTGCTCTCTTCTTTCCTTTTGGTGAAAGCCGTGGAGACAGACCACAGCTCTTCGCCGCCTGTGACGCTTGCAGCACTGCAAAGAGTAGAGAGGTTATGAGAGGTTGGCCTTGATGTGCCCGACAGACTTGGAGAAAAACCCTCTTGAGCAGGCTTGCTGCGGCTCAGGCTGGCAGCTCCCTGCGAATCGGCGTTGCTGGCTCTATGACAAGGGCTTTTTCATGCCATGGCAGCATATTTGAGTCCTACTTACTATCTACTGTATAATACTGTATATATATATATGACATATATATATATATAGTAGTATGAGTGCACCACCATGTGCGATTGAGTGCAAACTTGGTAGCGGTTATATATATATATATAGTATGGTCCTTCCCGGGCCGTTTGCAAGAGGCCAAGCTGCGAAGCGCCAAGCGGAAAGTGGCAGAGCTGGAGAGCAACGGCGAGGTGATGGGCGGCAGAAGGGTTTGTGAGGGGCCAATGGCAGGGCCGATGGGTCTCCTGTCCTTGTGATGTGGCACAATTTGGCTGTCCAGGTGAGAGATGAAGAGGACGAGAAAGAAGATGCCAATGATGACAAAGAGGAGAAAGAGGCCGGATGAATCGCAGAAGCTGCGAGAGGGTTTGCCGCGCAATCCCCCCCACACAAGTGATGCCGCTATCTCTCCGCCGTTTGACTTGACGCCAGGCTGAGAAGAAGGGCTGCGAGCTCAGAAAGCCCCACAAGTAGAATCACATATATATATATATGATTGAGTTTGAGTGCTGCGAGCTCATAGAATAAGAGATGTCAGAATCATGAGATCTCCAAGATTCGTGAGGTTCCGACTATTCAGACTACTCATACTCTGATGAGGGAGGTGATGTGCCCGCCTCAGCTTGTCGCAAACGTCGCAAACGTCACAGGTCGATCTCAGGCAGCTCCGTGTGTTGAGGCTGCTTGACCCGCCGCGACCTACGCGGGTCGTGACGTGTCGGCTTGAGGATGTTGGGCGTCAGTTGGTGCAACTTCCTCTCTCAGAGCTGGAGCATGAAACCAGCAGGGGGCAGAAACACGCCGCATACAAATCATTCTATATATATATATATTACCATGTGCGCATGTCATATATCTCACTGGCTTCATGTGATGTCTTAGCAACGTGCACCAAATCGGCATGCAGGGCCTTATGATCTTGTACATTAGGTTTACCGAGGCCAGGCTTTCGGTCCAAGGGAGTGACATGCGAAGCGGCTCAAGCGCCTTGCGGCCTTGCTAGATAGACCGGATGGTGGAGGCGAACAAAAAGGGATGTCCCGCTTTTAGACCTGGACGACGGACCGCCTTGACCGCATAGATAGGAGTCAACCTTTGCCCGCCTTGACCGCATAGGAGGAAATGGAGAACATTCAATCCATGCAGCTGAGATTCAACAGATGAGACAGCTCAAAGCATTGATTCAACGGCAGACTGCAGAGTTAGCTGTAGCTTGCTGTAGCAAACCTTCAGCACATACAGATGTATGAATTAAAGGATGTGAATCAGTGAATGATTGAATCACAGGGGCAACAATCAAAATCATAATTACTTGGATACCTTGACCATGCTGCTTGTGTATATATATATATATGTATATACACTGTATATATATATATTGTATCCAGGATGGGTTGTAGACTCGTAGACTGACACTGTGCATTTTACCACGATTCCTGGTGCCAAAGCAAACCACCCGTGGCTCCAGAGCTTTGGAGCCATGCCTGCTGGCTTGTTCTCGAATGATGCGTGCTGACCTTGGAATCTCACTCGGCATTTGGTGCCCTACCTGAATCAATGCCAGGATACCTGTGTCAGAGCTGAACTCAAAAGCTCTAGCCCTTGCAGCGCTCCTGGGTCCATCTGGCTTGCTTACAGAGGAGAAGTTTTGATGAAAAGAGGAGCAGTATCCATGGAATTTCTACAGGCCTAACTTTTGCATGCCTCGCTTATCACAAGTGTGCCAAGCCTATACTGGAAGAACAGGCTGCGGCTGGGAGGTTTTCGTTTACTCCCGTTTGATTCTTGTGCTGGGCTTTGCAAGACACATTGATGTGTCCACGAGGAATTCAAGATCAAAAAAGCGCGCAAAGAAGCAGCCAAAGCCCGCAAAGCTGCGAAGAAAGACTCCTGACTCGCTCAGGCATCCATTTTGCTGAGTGAAAAAGAATTAGCTACAGCTCAGTAGAGCGAGTTTGATGGAAAGTGTATGTTCAGCCAAATGGTCCAACAGATTGATTGAGAAATCTATTTTCTGGGATCTGAGGCCACGAATTCGGCTCACAGCCACTGGAGAGAATTCAGCGATTAAAGCTCTAGCAATCTAGATCCTTGACTTGTGCTATAAGAACTATGCCATCAGTTTACACCTGACTTGTTGAAACCAGATGGAGCTACCAATGCGCCACGGCTGACCTTGTACAGCCATGAGTAAGGGCATGGAAATCGTTAATGTCCGGCATGCTTTGCTTTGGCCTCAGCCAATGACTGAGGAAGTTGGCATTTCGGCATGTAAAGAGTAGTGATCTTACTGAGCGGCTGTTGGATCCCAGGCCATGTGGAGTCAGCTTAAGGCTTGGCCAGGGCCATGTTTGCACGGAGATGCTTCCCCAATTCATCCGCAAATTCCTTGTTCGCCTTTTCGGCTCAGTTGCAGTGACCCAGATTCTCCGGCTTTTGTGGGTCGGATTGGCGCAACACCGGGCACACTGGCAGAATCAAACACAGCGGTGCATCCAACATCATCCAACCATCCAACCACATTGGCCACTGAACTTTAGGCGTCTTTGCCAACTGCAGAGGGTTGACTGAGCTATGCCGGATGACTTTGCTGAGCAGACTTAGTGCGAGCGAGTCTGAGCCTTAGCTGCACTGTTGCCGGGCTTTTGAGGTGACAGCATCCGTCAGAGCTCCAAAACAAACCAACAGGGCCACGAGCCTACAACTTGTAAAATGCACACAGCAGGTCACTTTAATGTGCGACTGCTGTGTAAGCCACTTCAGCAATGTTTCTGGGGTAGAGCTGAGGCCAAAGGCCGCCACACGTCCATCGTGCACACACCGTGCCGAACACGCCGTCATGTTGGCCTTCTGAGGATCAGCCTTTAGCGGCAGTGCCACTAATGATGTGGTGGGAGCATGACGCTTGGCTTAAACTATGCTAGGGTCAAGATTGGGGGACCAAAAGATGTGGAAGACTGCTGGGACCTGCATTTTCTGTAGTGCTTGATGTTATTGATCATGCTTTGTCACCCGCTGTAGGAACCGGGTCCTTTTTCAACTACTTGATGGCCGGCAACTTCAAGTGAAAGCCCTCGGAGGTCGACTCCAATGTGTTCCTGGGCTTGGTTAGGCCACCCGTCCGGGAGGCGGATCCACCAGGAGGCCGAGACTTTGGGGATGGGTCAAACAGTCAAAAAGATGCGGTGGGCCTGACTGTTTGGGAGGGGTGTTGACCTATTTGTTTGCCACGATGCAACCTTTTCTGGGTGTTGAACAGGTTGACTGATATGATAGCATGTGATAGCTGGTGTTTGAGCGGCAGCCTGTTTTGTAAAGCACCCACTCCGCCTGGATTATAGCCTACTCTGGTAGCCCAGAAATCGCCTCACGAAAAGCCTACACGAAACCCATAGTTTTGGGATGATAACCGCTGGCTTTCTGTAGATTTTCCCTTTAACCAACCCAATGACGGTGAAAACGCATGACATTGCAGCCTGCGTGGGCTTGCACCCGTGGAGTTCCTCTTGCCTCGCATAGGTAGGCACTGTCACCTGAAGTCTAGGTGGTCCAGCATAGCCCTGGGCAGAATCAACAATCAAAGCACGGCTCATTTCGCACAACAAGATGATCGAGTTTCTCGATCATGCTCGATCCAGATGCCATGTCCGAGGCCTTGGACAATGCCTGGCAGCCAGCCTTCCTGAAGATGACCTTCATAGAGGATCTGGGGTTGGAAATGGTTGGAGCGTTAAAAGTGTTCGAAAAATGAGCATGGCGAACTTTACCCATGGATTCGCCCGCCTTTCACATGGCCCGTCCTGCACCCCGCACCATTGCTCGTTGGGGTTTAGCCAGGATGGCACTGTGGAGCTGCCCGAAATCCATCAGACCGTTCCGAAACTCAGTCGCCGACCGAGGTGACGCGGTCACCGGTCACCGGATGCCGACCGGGCCGAGGTGAGGTTGATCGACCAGGAGGCCGACCGACGAAGGATGGAACTGCAGGAGCTGGCGTGTTTCGCGGGTATCGCTGTGAAGTTTCAGGAGGCCAGGAAGAGTTGTACACGAAGACCAAGAGCAGCTACCACTTTTTAAGCATTGTGATTGGACCAGGTACTAGTAGTGAAGAGGATATTTTTGGTGGTGAGTCCAGGGGCCAAAGGGCTATAGCTATAGGTGTGACTCACCAAAAACACGCACACACACAAGCAAACTGGCAGGTGAGAAGTGGAGCAGAGATTCGTGTGTCTATTGCTGCCGAAGGGCTTCAGTACACCTGCAATGGCAAATGGCGTCCACAGTTTAAGAAGCTTGGATTCATCACGAGAGGGATTTGCATCGTTGCATGGTGTATGGACTTCTAGTTGAGGGCCGTCCGTTATTGCCAGTGAAGTTCGATGAAATGTTAAAACAAACATATTGCGAAAGGGAAACTGCAGTCCGGGAAAGGCTGGCGAATGTGCCAACCTAGACTTACATAAAATGTGCATAATACATGACAATACATGACACATCCTTTTTCCCGAACACAAAAACTGATTTTCGCGAAAGGGCCGCGAAAGGCCGGCGGTAGGCCCGCGAAAGGGCGCATTGCCTGGAAGGGCATTTGCCCATCCATGGCCTTGAAACCTTTGTTTCAAGTATGGATTGACAAAGGTCAGCCTGCTTCTCAGCGCACTAAAAGGGATTTAGAAGTATTTACAGTATCTAATTAGATATAAAATCCCAAACACTGTGAACTCAGTGCAATGGAACAAGCTCATCACAATGCGCGAAAGGAAAACTTGTGGTTTTCTGCAAACGCAAAAGGGCCGCGAAAGGCCGGCGACACAAGCTCCTAGAGAAGAGCTTTGTTGGACAACCCCCAGTTGAACTGTTACATGATGAATGCCGGGTGCACTATGACAGGCATTTGGACTTCCATGCGGATGATGTTGTGGTGTAGCTCGGCTTCAATCTGGTAGCATTTGGTACAGTAGCTGTGCACTTGCAAGAAAGGCAATTCATCAGTAATTGCAGTGGAATCTCCAATTCCAGTCACAGGTCAAGTGTATCGCACCGGTCATAGCCAGCCGCTTCAGTGACCCCAAGGTTCCCAGAGATCCACCATTCGGCCAAGTTGCCGGAGACCTCCGCGGGCGATGTGCGGGCGACACTGCAAGCGCTGGCAGCCATTGCAGGGTATGGAGCTGATTTCCCTGAGGCGTTGGATGGTGCTAGCTGCATCCAGCCCAAACCTAAAGGGCAAAGCTTTGTTTCTCGTCCTCCAGATGTTTCCTCATGTTTCCTCGTTTCCTTTGCTTGGAGGCTAGAGGGAAGGGCTGCTTGAGGATGACACTGGCAGGCTGAGACCACCCGCGTGCCCACGGCAGTCGAGAAACTTCGCAGACGACTCGCTCCCGAGGCCTCCAACGACTTCAGTACACCGTGGATGGCCAGGTTCGTCCACCCTTTTCCAACATGTACTTTCAGGCTCCGGCGTTTGATTCGTTTGATGGTGCCCCCGGTGGACGCGGGCGTCCGGGAGGGGGCGTCCGTCGTTCAAGCGTCCGGTGCACGGCACCGTGGCCGTGGGGTCCGACACCGTAGCGAGGAGGACTTCGTCCACTTCCCGGAGTTGGGCACCACGGCCAAGTTGCCTCAAAAAGCCTTCTGTGCCAGGTGGGGGGTGATGGATGTGATTAGCCAACATGCTGTTTTTCTTTCAAAGCCAGTGCGGCGGAGAGACCGGATTGCAAGCGGAAGTTTTTTCAAGGCTGGCGATCCAGAAGAAGCTTAGACTGCACTAAGATCATCTCTTCGTAGGACGAGTACTGTAGTAGGAGCTTCAGTGCTGCTCAGTGCAAGATTGTTTTGCTGATGGACTTCCACATGTCATGACAGCAAGCTGCTTCCCGCAGGCTTGCTTGCATGGCTTCTTTAGGTCTTCACTTTGAGGAAGCAAGGCGCAATCTGTGAAGAAGTCATTTGAGATGCCTCCGTTACATCCCGTTACTGGTTCCTTGCTGCTTGCTTGTGGTGCCTTTAGGGGTCACGGGCACATTTGCGTGACGTGCGCTGATGACAGACTGTTGCCAAAACCTCAGAGGAAGTCGTATCGCAGCAATTCCGTGGATGTGTCCCAAATTTGCGTCGTGAGGCAGTACACGGTGGATGGCATTCCCCGACCCACCTTTCAGCAGATGGTGTTCTTGCAGGATGACATGGTGGACTTTCCTGACATAGGTCGGCTGTTTTGGTTGTGAAGAGCCACGGATGCTCGATGCCAACTGTTCCACCACTGCTCAGGCACATCAATCCAGCTGCCGCACAGCTGTGCGAATGAGTTGAGGTAGCTTGGCATTCCCGCTTATGCTTGCCAGTTAGGACCCCCCAAAAGCCTGAGTATAAGTCGCAACGCTATTGAAACACCAAAAAAAGTGACAACTTCGCCCAGGGCGCAGCTTCAAGATTTGGCTTGCCGAGTCCACTTGGGAGTGCCTCTACTGTGGAGATGTCGGTGCGCCACATGAGACCAGCATTTCCATTGTGAGCCAAGGTTAGGTTTCAGACGGCTCGAGGGAACCGAATGATACGCTTCCACTTGGGCCATCAGAATCTCCAGCAACCCGGCCAGTTCCTTTCTGTGGATGACAAACGAATACAAACGATGCGTCAACTGCTTTGTGAAGTGTTGCAGTTTTGTCCTCCATGATGGGAATTGTGTGATCTGCACATTCCGATGTATCAAACCAAGGTACACAGTTGACGGTGTGGCTTGGTCCATTTTTCGATGCGGATGGGCAACTAGATGTTTACGATGAAGCGAGGAGCCTTTTCACGGTTTCATGTAAAGCAGCTGCATTGCGCAATGATGTGTGCAGCACATTATGCCACATGGATGTTTCGCCAGACCAGCCTCCTTGACCGCCAAATGTGAGTTCCGTGATTCGTCCGTGATTCGTTCCTCGAGTTACGAACCGACGCGCTGAGTTGTGGCGACCGACCATCCTGCAAATGACTTTTCATGAGAATGGCCACTGATCAGCACTGGTCCAACATCTGCGATTGGTACAGCTTGTTGTGCAAACCATTCAACCAGGTTTCAAGAAGTAAGGCTAGATGGTCTGAACACACTACAAGTGTGACTGTGGTAACTCTGTCCAAGGCCTGTTGAACATCCCGGAATTGAACAAGACTGTGACAATGGCAGGGAAAGAGGTTGAAGGCTTGAGGACCCTTCACACCTCGCAGACATGTGCACCCTGAGACTCACAAGCTAGGAGAGCTCGGACCTTTTTCTCGGAAATGCCGATTGGTAGGATCCTGTTGCAAGAGCTGGCAGCCCTGGCAGGGCTTTGTGTATGCTTTGCTTCTTGGTTCATGACTCGAGCCATGTTGACTGTTCACCTGGAGCGGATGACGCCTTGGCTGCGGCGTTTGAGGTTGAAGCTCGATGCAAAGACTGCATTCGGATCTCCATTGCAGGCGACAATTTGCTGCAGCACCCTGGCCCATCATCAACGGTCGTCCTTCGTTTCGCGTCGGCAAGAGGTTTGCGGACCCAGTGTGGGACGTGTGAACCGCTAAGACCAGGTACACAGTGAATGGGTCTTGGCGGCCATGCTTCACAGATTTGGACATCCATGAGGCGCTCCACACGACATACAACTTCAACAAGCATTATTGATTCAGATGGTCGTGCCATTTTGAGTCTGGTCCCAGCTATGTGAATTCTTCGCGCCAGGACGGATGGGTCGACTTTCCAGATCTGGGACGAAAAGCCCAGCTGCCTTTTGATCAGGCAACTGTGGTGGATCGGTGTTTTTTTGTTGACCTGTTTGGCCAGGGTGTGCTGGTGACCCAAGAGTTTCTGCACATGTAAGGGACTTGCGCATGTGACACGCATGTGTTTCATCGTGTTTCTATACTTCTTTACCAAGTCACTGGGTCGGTCATACTTGTTCAACTTTTTAGACTTTCAAGCAGGGTTGCCCGAAAGGTCCCGAAAGAATGCGTGAATTTCCACCTTTGTTCTCTGTCCAATTCTTGTGAAGGGGCAGAGACTACCATCGTTCGCTGTTGACGAGGTCTACACACTGCGATCGCAGCTGCGAGAATTGCAACGACGCTCGCGAGAGCGTGAGGAGGACACAGAGGCCTCAGAGACTTCCAGACCTCACCCAGAAGCGAATGGCGGAGCTCGTTGGCTGGTGGTGGACGCAGACTCGGTCACTTGCCTAAAGACAATGGACCTGGTTTTTGCTTTTTCTTTTTTGCTGAAGAAGTGGCTTCGACATATTGACAGGCGTATCCGGTGTTTCAAGCTTCATCAAGCTTCTGAGGTCCAGCTTACTGCAGAGGAATCTGACCAGTTTGCTTCAGCACTTTGACATTTTTTGACTCATTTAGACTCATCATCGGGATCACCGCCAGAGTGAAGCACCTCGCCCCTCTAGGCGCTGTAGGCTGCTCCAGGGCATCGGACGCGCCTCTTGGAGACATCACTTGATCCGAAGAAGAACAAGCAGACTGCCAGGGACCTGCGTGCGTCCTGTACAGAGAAGAACGACATCGAGTGCATCGACCTGTGGAAAAAGTGGCGTGGCTTTTGATGATTTGATTTGCATCAAGCTGGTAGCAGCTCTTGCGTCCTTGAGCTGATACTCTTCGGCCTCTTTGAAGTTACTCTTCAGTTTGAAGGCCTCTTTCTCGCAAAGCCCAAAGACTTTCCAGGCTGGGGTGGTCGCCAGCTAGCGGCTCTTAGATGCTCTTATGTAGTTCTTGAGTTCCAAGTTCGGAGCACTCAACGTATGATTCATGGAGGTGGGTGACCGGGTCTTTCTGAAGAAGGTGGCATGATGTGTCGTGTCACCAAAGGTGTAGTGTTTGCATGTGTTTGCTCATCTCAGCATCCCTGTCCTTAGCTTTTTTTGGAAGGTGGATTTGGGGCCAGAACTGGAGGTGTGCCTAGCTCTCCTTGCACGAGAAGATGCGGCCAAACATGCATCCCTCAGCCTGCTCTGTTGCCAGGCCTGGAAGGATCAGCTTGTGGGGACGGTGGTCGAGGCCGTGTTCGATCATTGGTCGCAAGAAACACCAAAGTGGAGATTGCTGAGGTGCCAAGCGGAAGGGATCAGCCGTATGTCCTTGACTTGGTATTTCTCAGCTTCTTCGTGACATGATATGATGAGATTGATTTTTGCCAACAGCACCTGCAAAGGTTTTTGAGCCCCTGACCTGGGCAGATTTCCCGTGCTCCGCAGCGTTTGTTGAAGCCACAAGACGCCAACAAGAACTGCAAATGAAATGAAAGTGCATGTTGCACAGGCAGAAAGCTGTAGGAATAAGAGAGGATCCAGATCCGTTGGCCTTGAGAGCTGTCTCAACATGGCTAAGCCGCCGATGGGAGAAGAGAACGATGAATATGAAGACCAGGCCCAATTTATCATAGCAGGATCCGAGCGATATAAGATGGCTTTGACAAGTTTGCTTCGGTTGATGCACGCTGAGGGTGACCAGCTTGGACAGGTGGCTGAAACAATCAGTTTGATCGAAGAATTGCATGGCACGGCAAAGTTCAAGCCGTTGACACCGATGACCTCCTCATTCCGCCAGTGCCCTCATGGCGTTTAGTTTTTGGATGCTATTTTTGGTCGATCACATGATTGCAGTGCACGAGTAAAAAGAGACAGTTCATTGAGTGCAGAGTACCATAGGACCTTTAGGGGGCATGTTACCCTCCTGGCACAAGGTAGTCTAATGTAGTCGCACACTTTCAGAAAGTCGTGCCTTTCTAGCGAGATCCGCACAAGTTTTTCCTGAGATGAGCACTTTGGAACATAGCCTTGAGGACCTTACATCAATCCGCAGCCATTTGCAGTCCGGGACGCTAAGGAAGGATGTTGCGATTGGTGGAGACCCGAAGTTCCGAGAGATGAGCCATTTCCTCACCAGCTACAGCCATCAGGAGAGGGCCTTGAGGGCCTCAGCCTTTGAGAGGGCCATGGAGCCACAGAGTCCTCTCCTTGAGTCCCAAAGGGTTGGGTGATGCTTTTTTCCCCCTTCCTTTTCCGCCAGAGTGCCAGGGATGTATCGGGGATGCAATATGATTGCTAGTCATGTCTAGTACTTCACTCGGCGGTTCCGATTTTCGGTCCATTTTGACCGACAGATCGTCGTTTTCTTGCCGGTAACCTGGGCTGCAGGAGCGTTTGCAAACCATGCACCGTGGGGATGAGTCTCCTCGAAAGGACGGAGAAAGGTTAGGCGGGTGGGCAAGTCTCACCATGGAAGCCGTGTCACTCTGTGAGGGCTGACACTATGGGATTGAAATATCCTGGAAACATTTGAGGGGACTGACTATATTATATAATAATGATCATGCTCAAACAGCGTTCAGTTGGTTCATGTGATTTCCAGTATTTTAATGTATTTCCTAATCACTCAGTTATATAAATAATATTGCAAAGCAATTTCTTGGCAGCTTTTTTTTGTATATAATCTTTGCTTTTGTTCTGATGTCGGCAGGACGGTATCGAGTCCATGAACAACCGTGCTCGCAAGCTGGCCTTGGAGGCAATGACTCAGAGCGTGGAGTGAGGGGGCATGTTCGAACAACTCGTGGTCACATAGCTTCTGCAGTGATGCTACCAATTGCTACTATTGCTGCCACAACCTGCCCATAGATATGCACCCTGTGGAGTATCCACAGGGTTGGCCAACGACTTGTCCTCTCCAAACAGTTGGGCCAAGAGGGCGACGTAAAGCGGCGACGTGTTGAAAGTTGCACAGGCGAAGAACGCCGAAAGTCCTACGCAGAGGTCAGCCGACCCAGAGAGAATGAGTGAATTGCCCATGCATGATTGGTCAATTATATAGCAGATCTTGAAGAGGAAGATCCAGATGGATGGCTGCAATTGCCATGGGATGAATTCGCATGATTGACATGGTCGATATAATGTGATTCTTTTGTATACATGGGCTTTCCGCGTTTGAAGGAGCTTCCCTTCATCTCCTCGGTCACCTTTGCGAGCTTGGAAATGACTTGGCTTTTGTTTCCACTGATTGAGCTAGATGTCGCCAACAAACAAATGCTTGTGCCAGGTTTGCCATGGCAGGTGGCACGATCACAGGAGCTGTCCAAAGTACTCCGTCCGTGCACGCTGGCCCAGAGGAAGAATCACACAGTTCATGACTCATATGACTCATATGACCCAAGATTTTATCTCTTTGCTCAGGCCAAGTGAGGCCAAAACCACAGTCGAATCACCACGGCGCCAACTGGCGATTGGCGCGGAAGCAGTGTCTTGGTGTGTTCGGTTTTCGAGCCACCGAGCAGGGGAAGATTTCATGTTGTGCCGAAAGGAATTGCAGCGAAGACTGAAATGGCGTGAGGAGCTGGACAGGCCGCACAGCAACGATACGATGGGAAGATCGAGTTACACATGTTGGATCGCCAGTGATACGGGATACGGCTAGAATGTGTTGCACCATCCTCAGGAACCTGCGACGGTTGATGACGGATGTGGAGCTTGGACGCGATCCAGCGATGAAACCTTACAATCATCGGATGCTTGGCAGGGGTCTATATAACCATCTCCTCGGATCTCCTCGGTACGGCCCTGGCAAACCTTTTTGGAAGCATCTATTTGATTCATGATTCAAGTGTAAACCATTGATGTTTTACAATCCAAACGGTGGGGTCTTAATCATCAACAGTCTACATTAGGCTGAAGAGGATTTTTTCCTGCAGATGCGCACCACATTAGCAAAAATTGGACTCAGTGTAACATTTTTTTGAATATTTTCGACCAGGATAATTCTTTTTTAGAATATATACATATATAACTATATATATGTATGCAATCTTCGACCGGACTCGGACCGCACTGGCACCTTTCATTCAATGGCACACTTACATCGGTTGGACCCGCCGCAATAGCACCTTAGGACCTTGTTGGTGCCATGTGCCACCTCAGAAACACTTCCAATTTTGTATATTGGACGTATATTGGATGCACAAATCTAGTCTTTACAAGACCCGTGCGAGGTTCGTTGCACGGAAAGCCGTGGACAATTTGGACTCCAACTGCAACTGTAGAACTCTACATTTGCTTGCTTAGGCATTTATAGGTCAGCTCTTTTGTGCTTTGTGTTCTTGAACGTTACTGTCCCTTCTTCACATGCAGTTGTTCTATGCCTGTTTATGACGCCAAGGATGGTTTGTGAGCAGCGGCTCGGCAGATACAGTCTATTTAAGTGTCACTGGAATCACCTTGTGAGCCCAGGTTCGACAAGCGCTATGACTGGTTCAAAGATTGTGGTGATAAAGAGGTGCTGAAGGAGAGGTTTGAAATCCCTTTTGATGGTCGAGATGACCAACAGCTTTCAACTGGCCAGATGATTGGTCAATTTTTTCTGCAAACATTGCTTGGCCATTGCTCAGGAGAAAAAGGGGCCACCATTTGTGCGATACGACCCTGCAAAGCCAGTTATGGCCGGATCCACGCGAGGAATCCCGCGCAACACCTGAGGCGAATCCCGTGCCATCTTCAAGATTGGATGAGCATTTTGGGTGATGGACCATATATATATATATATATCTGATTACATATATTATATACAGTGGTATATATATATATAGTAACTTATATCTTACACATAGTATATGTACATACAGTATGCAGGTGTCTGGCCCAGTCCAGTGGCAGATGGTCCAATATACGTATGTGTTCCCAGACGTGCAGACCCGCCAGGTGCGAGGGCATCAAAGACGGGAACCACGGCTGCCATGTGAGTTGCACAGGGCTGCTCAGCTGTTTCAGCACCACTTTCCTGCGACTTTGATGGGGGAGTTGGATGGAGTTTATGTTCTATGAAGGTATATAAAGAAAGAGTAGGGCTTTTACTAGTTAATTAGCCTCCGCAGACTAATTGCTCAGTCTTCTACAACATGTCTGCCCCACGCTGGTGAGACTGCGCTACTGAGGCATGTGCTGAGGAATTGTAGCTTATGAAGCCCAAGTGAAGTACTAGCTTTGCCAAAGGCAATGTGAGCACTGCACTTTTTCACGGCAAGATATGGCTTAGACTCCCGAGCGCTTGCTGATTTGAATTGGCAGACGGTGGGGGCTTTGCCGTAGTGCTGTACATTCCCAGACAATCAGCTTCCCTCAGCATTCTGCTGGCGAAGCGGGTGTTTTATGTCTACCATGTTTACCTTGGCCCCTTGAGGGGCTCAAGGCTGGCTCAAGCCAGTACCAGTAGGAGGACTTCTGACAACTCTTCAAGAGAAGCTGAACTAAAGAGGACAGATGCACAGCAAGAAGCCTGAAGCCAAGTCTAGGAGGTTGCTTGCATATGGACTGAGGCCGTGGATGTATTTGCACCTGTGCTTGATGAGGAGGGAGCCACAGCTTGCCATGTTTCGAGCCAATGCGTTAAAGCAGTGAATGGTTCTTCACTTTGGGCATAGAGGGGGCATAGGCTTTGGCAGAGGTGTGAGAGGTGCTGAGAGGTGCTGAGGCATGTTTAGGCTACAGGCCATTGTAGGTCCTTGAGCTGACCACGCCTCCGAAGCCGTTTTGAGTATTGGTCTGAATTTGCTCCACATGTGGCTCACAGCGAATCTCAATAGATATTTGCTCAGCTCAGCGGAATATGTCGAATCCGGACAAGGACAAGAAGCAGAGAGGCTTGGAACTTGGAAAGGTTTGTAGGCATTTTGTGTTGTTGGAGCAGGCATAGTTTGCACATTCCTGCCTGACAAGGTTGCTAATTCCCCAGTTTGGCTTGCGCGAGGCGTGCTTTGTTGGCAGAGCTTTCAAGATTCAAAAACTGCTTGAAGTAATCATATTGCCAGGCCATTGAACCATGGCAGAAGTTGCACATCTTTGGGATGACAGGCTAGCATGGGTGGGTCATATCCTTGTGCCTTGAGGATTTGGCTCTGTCAGGTTAGTGTCACTTACCACACTTGAACGCAGCTCACGCATAAAGGGCTCGTGCGACTCTTATGGCTCTTCGCTCTTCCCGAAGATCGCTTTTGGATGAACAAGGCGAGTTTACCGCCAAGGCATCTTCGTCACAGGGCGAGTTTGCCGCCCTTGGATGGACGAAACCCTCCTCACAGGCAAGACGGCCGGACACGATCGAGATCGAACGGAGTGAATGGATCGAGACGACAGGGACGCCTCCAACTGGTCAACGGAGCCGCCGTTGCGTGGCGGCCTCATTGTGCCGCACAAGAAACAGCAAGAAACTCTTGAACTCATGGCCGAGTCACTTCCTAAACTTTTTGGCTCAAGTGTTGTGGGGGCACGCAATTCAGCTGCAATTCATGGCAGGGGGCTCGGAATTGATTGGAAGAGGTAGGACAGAACAGCATTTTCCCAGCGGCTTCAGTGAAACTTCCGTGAAGCTCAAGACGGGTTTCCGGTTTCCCTTCTGAGGTCTTTGCTGAATGCGACTGCTGAAAAAGTTGCCTGCCATGACATCATGTCACATTGCTTGTCCCGTGGGTGCATAGCTTCTTTGCCAAGCCTTCATGGCCTTTTCTGGTTACTGGTTGTGTCCGTCTCAAATGAATCCTTGCAGCTGTCCGCCACTGTCGGCTCACGGCTTAGCTAACTTGGAGCCGTTGCTAACTCCGCCGCGTTTTGCAAAAGATCGACGCCATGCAGATCTTTGCACCTCGGCATCCTTTGTACATTATATTTTTCCATTATTTTTAAGCCCGCCGGGGGGGAGGCTAGGTAGCGAGTAAAAGAGAGGTAGCAACTAGCTACTTAAGCTACTAGCATGGACGCAGGATAGCGCTCGCACTAACGATTTGGTTCATTTTAGGGAAACTTAAGTTAAATGGGCTGTGGTCCTTGCAGGTGAAGACCCTGACTGGAAAGACCATCACTCTGGATGTGGAGGTGGATGTGCAATTTAGCTCTCTACATTGTTTCTCAGATACGCGTGCACAGGTTTTTTGATACAACTGGTGTTGATCTGGTGTTGCATTTTGTTTTTTTTTTTGGGGGGGGACCGGGATATGCTCAGTGGCAGGCCTCTGACACCATTGACAACGTGAAGGCCGGATGCCAGAGTAGGACACCTGCTGGTGACGACCACCTAGGCAAAAGACACACACACACAAAGCCTTCGACGCAGGCCAAAATTCAGGACAAGGAGGGGATCCCCCCAGATCAGACACTTGGTCAGCAACATCAAAGCCTGGCTGCAGTTCAACCGCGGGAAGCTTGGAGTGCCCTTCAGCCAAGGCAGCGTCTGATCTTTGCCGGAAAGCAACTTGAGGATGCTAATTTGATCTAATTTGCATTGATTTGTTCACAAGTCTTGCTGGAGGTGGAGTCTGTGATGCGTTTTTCCGTCTCGGTTACGGTTAAATCTACGACAGTAGTGATATTGAGCAGGATGGCCGTACCTTGTCAGACTACAACATCCAGAAGGACACAAGCTCAGCTGATCTGAGCTGTAAGCAGGCCACGCATCACCCCAATCGAGAGAGAGAGAGAGAGAGAAAAAAAAGAACAGGAGTCCACCCTGCACTTGGTGCTGCGCCTTCGAGGGGGCCATTGCCAAGTCCCATGCGGCAGCTTGTTTGCGCTGATGGTTCAAACTTCAGCTGTCTTGACTCTTGACCAATCCCCTCAATAAACAAAGGAATCTTTGATGATCCAAAGCTTGTGGCTGACGTGAAGGAGGCTGTGGCAACAATCAAGAAGGTGGGGAGCATAGGTCTCCAAAAGAAAGGGAAACCACGGTGGCAAAAGGAAAGAAGAGAAACCTTTGCGGTCCCACAGGTCCCTAGTTTCCGCCACCCATGTGACCCATGTCTATTGAGACCACATGACATCACCCATTCGCCTTCTCGCGCGCATTCAAAACGGATCTAAAAGACATCTCCAGACAGTCGACCTGCCAGGCGATGGTTCAGATCGGTGAGCTCTCTGTCGGCGGCTTGTGTGCCCAAATGGAGTGCACGACGCTCTCTTATCAACTGCTGACCTATTAAACATCATGAGGCCAGCATGACCCCGCTCAACATCAATCAAATGACCCGCTGGGTGAACACTAAGGCCACTGCAAATGTGTTACTATTAGACAAAGTAGAGAAATCCTGCGCGTGTTCAAGGAAGAGCATGCAGGCAAGATCGTGAGCCTCATGTCCACAGCTCAGCAAGTCTTCCGTTTTCCGTCGACCTGGGCAGCCGACCTGTGAAGGTCTGAATACTGCCTGTGCCAACGTGTGAAGCCTGTGACCGACCCCAAGACGCCCTTCAGCAGCGAGGCAAGGCACTCACACCAATAACCTTGCGGCAGACCTTGAAACAGATTCACTGCTCAGTATGCCTCACCCTGTCATTTGTAAGGAGCAACCGAAAGACGGTGGTAAGAAAGATGGAGAGACAGAGCAAGCTGACATAACAAGCGAACACGTTTGAACACCAGCAATTTGATTCGCAGAGCGTTGGTGGTGTCGCCACTTTCGTGTTTAGGCCAAGCCCCATTCTCCCTCAAATATCAAGCCTTTGCGCTGACATTTCAGTTGCGTGGCCAGAAGTGCTGAGCAGGCGGACTATATTGCCGCACTGCAATCCCACCACCAGGCTGGCATTTAAGGGCAAAGCGTGTTGCAGTCTGAAAGTGTTGAGGTGATGCTGGCCGCGGTGAAATGCAAGCAGAACGTCGATCCTGCCCTAGCAGATGCTTTGGATGCGGCTGTGGCTGAGATGAGCAAGATGTGCCCAACTTGGCATTTGAGCCGCTGGATTCTATTCCGCAAGATGGTTGTTCGCCTCAGGTACCTGAAGTGAGAAGAGAAGGTACCTCCTCGTCTTGACTCCAAGTGTCAGGCATCGACTTTAGAGCACAGATGCGCCTCATTGCGCCCCAGACCCGCTTTCTTAGACCTGAAAATTTGTGGGGCGAGGGTCGTTGTATGTCATTGTGCTGGATTGCGCAAGGCCTCGTTTGAGCGGAGCATGTTCTTCCTTCTTTCTTTTTAGCGATGGGCTCCAACCTACTAGCGATGGCCTCCTTGCCGGCATGCTTTTTGGGTCACGGCGAGACTCTCGGCTTACAGGATGTCACTGGAGCAACATGTATTGCAGGCCATGGCTGGTGCCTGCCGTTTCTGCATCACTTCCGCGAGGTGTGCAAAACGGCCATGATTCCCGGAGATTCCAAGGCGCGAGATCGGATCAGAGATGCAGACATTTGAGATGGCTGACTCCATTTGTGCTTGGGGGCCGCATCCGATGCCTTGCCCAAAGATCAGACCCAGAGCCCCCGGTGCAGAAGATTGTAGCCCAAGAATCTCCGAGTGATGAGCCGAGTATCTCATCCAAGGAGCCGGTCCTCACTGCCTCCTCGGCCGAATCTGTGAAGAGCAGAGGGCAACCTTGGCCTTCGACCCCTCCAGAGCCTTCAACTCCACCTGTCGCCAAAGCGCTCGAGTCGCCAGTGTCTTCCGCTGATGCCGAGGAAGCGGAATGGGATTCATTTCAAGAAAGCACACGTGCACGGAAGATTTCAAAAGAAGATGTGTTTGGTCGTGTTCAGCAACTTCAAGCATTTTTCCGGCTTGTGTTTTTGAAGGGTTAGGACCAGGACACGGATTGAACTCAATTGTGAGGTGAAGCCCACCCTGCCAGGACTCTACAACCAACTTGGCATTAGAGCTCGAAGAGGCATTTGTGGACATGGTGGCTCCAGCAGGAGACTCCGAGTCATCTGAGGACGAGGAGGACGAGGACGAGGACGAGGATGGGCTCGAAAGGATCATGGGCTTGGAGGCCTTGCAATCTGTTGGCAGAGAACCCACTCCCCCACCTGCTTCATGCAGCCAGCGCAGTGAGGAGTTCCCAAACCTGCCAATCTGTGAAATGGAACAAGAGGTGCTGAAGCAGGTCAGGGAACATCGAGTTGTCACCATCATTGGCGGAACTGGTTGTGGCAAATCCACGCAGGTGCCCCAGTTCATTGTTCGAGATGCGGCGGCCAAACAGGAGCCCTGCAACATTCTGGTGACGCAACCCAGGCGTTTGGCTGCGACCAGCTTGGCCAGGCGATGTGCTGAAGAACTAGGCTTATCCATGGGTGTTGAGGTTGGCTATCGAATACGTGGCGAGACTGTTCCTGGGGATCACCTCTCCTTCGCAACAGCTGGCTACCTTCTGAGTTGGCTCACAGCTGCTCCCGAAGGTGTTCAGAGCATGACTCACCTCATCCTAGATGAAGCTCACATCCGAAGTGCCGACATGGAGCTTTTGCTCCTCATGATACGGCTGTTCCTGCGTATCAACGACCGGTTGCGAGTGATTCTGATGTCTGCCACCATGGAAGCAGGCTTCTTTGGCAACTACTTTTCTGAGTCCGGCAAGGAGCCACCCAAGCCACTCTATGTTGGTGGACGACTCTTCCCAGTGAACGTTTTCACCCTAGACGACCTTGCTCAAGGAAAGAAGCCTGGTGGCAAGCTCTCAGGCCCTTTGAAGAGGAAAATCAAATCTGCCGCAGAAAAGGCCTTCAAGCCAGACATGATGAAGTCACTCACAACACGGAAGAGGGGGACTCGTCTTGAGAGTCTTCTGATGCCAAAGGTGGATGTACGGATCCGCGAAGCCGTCCAGGAGTTGATTCCTGAGGTTGCAGAGGGGGGGTCGACGATCCTCGTCTTCATCCCAGGCTATGCAGACTTGGTCCGCATGCATAGCTGGCTCTATTGGAATCTGCCTACGGTTGGGTCAGTGAACATGGGCTATGTGCCTCCGAAGCCTGAGCAGCTACCAGAAGATGATGAAGAGGAAGAGCAGGAGGATTTGGAGGAGTTTCAGGAGCTCCAGGGAATGGAGGGCCCACTCTCAGATCCCCCTCACGTGAGGAAAATGGATGATGTCAAGGAAGATGCAACAGGCAGTGTGAGGTTTCGGCTTTTTGCTTTGCATTCGCAGGTTGCTCAAGAAGATCAGGAGCTAGTTCTTCAGAAGCCCCCCCCAAACATGTGCAACGTAGTGCTGGCCACGACCATTGCCGAGTCCTCCCTGACCTTGCCCGAAGTGATTGGCGTGATTGATTTTTGTGTGCACAAGACCAGTGTGGGTGAACCAAGCCAGATGGGTTTATCAAAGATTGTGGCACAGTGGTGTGCCCAAGCTGCTTGTGTGCAGCGTGAAGGCCGTGCCGGCCGAACACAACCTGGATGGTGTATCCGAATGGTTCCTGAACAGGTCTTTGATGCGCTTCCAGAGTATGATGTGCCAGAAATTTTGCGCACCCCTTTGACCACATTGTACCTCAAAGCGAAAGGCATAGCTGATGGTTTGGGCCAGCTCGTTCTAAAGGATGAAACTTCGGCCAAACAGCTGTCCGCTTTCCTGGAAACTGCTACACCAGGTCAACTTCTAGAACAATTACTGGCCCCTCCGACAACAAAGGCCATCGACGCAGCTGTTTATCAGCTAGCACAGTTGGCAGTTCTGACCGAGGAATCGACACAGGCGAAAGTCACAGTGTTGGGGCGCTTGGCACTCTTCTTGCCACTGGACATCCAGCTTTGCCGCCTCGTTTGGCTTGGCTGCCTTCTTGGTTGTCCGGCGGAGGCAGTTGTGATGGCAGCAGCCTGTAGTGTACCGTCGCCCTTTTCCAATCCTTCGAGGCTTGGCTTTCAAGACCCCGAGGAGTTCACGAAGCAATTGGCAGACACAGCGGCAGCCTGGCGCTCCTTTGATGGAGGCCACTGCTCGGAGCATCTGACCTTCCTTCGGCTTTTCCAGGCATGGCTTCGCCGGCTCTCGGCAACACCTGTCCGCAGTGCTTCGCAGCAGAGGTGGTTTCGAGCCACCCACATGCTAGAAAAGGATGCAGCAATTGATGCTTCACGCATGACTGCTTTTGTTGCCTTTGTGGCTGACTTGGCCGTTCGATGCAGGGACTTGTGCAGCAATGAGCGCGATACAGCCACTTCATGTCAAGTTCGTGCTGACCTTCATGGATTGGTGTGCCTACTACGGCGTCCTGACAAGAATCGGGAGCAGCAACAGGCACTGATTAGTGACGACTATGTGCCAGATATTGGCGACGTTTTTCGCGCTCCTGCCAGGAAGCTCTACGCATTGCTTGCCACTGCCTTCTCCGACACATTGCTAGTGGGGAGTCACATCGCAAAGGATGGTGACATGCTTGATGCGCTAGATATGCTAGATCCCAGTGGGGTTGCATCCCAAGATGCTGTGCTCATTCCACAGCATGGAATCAAACGGTCAGATAGCCAGGTGTCCACACTCTTGGAGACCATAACAGGTCAAGCTCCTTCGGACATTGCTCAGAGCAGTCGATTCATCGCAGTGAAATTCAGAACGGAAGATGTAGATGACACCAAGATATCGTTGGTCTCCCGTCGCCATGATCCACGGACCATGGGCCTGGGTCCAGCTGAAGAACCACGCTTGATGGGTGTGAACATGTTGCCCAGGCTGTGTCACATGTCTGCCGGTGGTCCACGAAGGTTTTCCATCGGTGAGGCTCCGTTTGCCAGAGCGACGTCGCCCTACGAGCTGGAGTTCAGTGTAGTTCACGAAGCCCGAGGCAACCGGCGGACGATGCTTGGAGTGGTGGGTGAGCAGACGCCTTTAGGCTTTGCTTGTCATGTCGTGGCAGATGGGCGTTTGGGCTCTGAGCACTTTGCTTGTGTGGCCTCACAGATGACCTTGTCCGAGTTTGGCGCACGAGTCAGCAATGCAACTCTGCTGACAGCAGAGGAGATGGTCTTCGCGCTCATCACCAAATGTTCAACTCTGATTCCTTTTCAGCTGGGCTTTGGCCAAGGTCCTGGAGGAACAGCCACAGGTTCCCACGCTGGACTCATGGGCCTTCGCTTTCAGCGGGAGGATGAGGTGCACTTCCAAAGATTTTTGCCTGGCGAGGCCACCCTGAGCAAGGTCAATGCCATCAGAACTGCGATCATGGAGAATTTGGTGAGCCCAGCTGAGGCCAATTCAGATGGACAAGAGATTTTGTTGTGGGAGGATTTTGATGCCCAGAAAGATTTCGAAGAGCTCATCCGCATTGTGCATGACTCTGAGACGGTCGAAGAGATGGGTGGGCTCTATGGTGCTGAGTCTCATCCCATTTTCTGGATCGGTCATCGACCAAACTTGCGGAAACAAGGCAGTGATGAGGATGCTGAAGAGGAAAACGAAGAGGAAGATCTGGAAGATGCAGAAATCCAAGCTTTACAACCAATTGCTATCCGGATGGCTGGAATGGAAGACTCTGTCGCCCTCAGAACCGCCAGACTAAGTCCGCAAATCGAGCACAGCCTTGAGTGCCCTGATTGTGGCGAGTGTTTTGATGATTGGCCCAGCTGTCGTGAGCACTTGGCGCTGACAGGGCACCTCGATGTGTCGAACAAACAAGCGGAGAGTAGGGCTCGTCAGCAGTGTCAGCCTGTTCGCTGGCGTTGCCTTGAATGTTTCGAAGGCTTTCCAAGCCTTGAAAAGCTAGACAATCATTTGAAGCAGTCGGGCCACTTGAGTTGGGCCGACCCAAAGACTCAGCGAAATCTTTGCAAGCCCCGGCGGATGCCGGACTTCGATGACGACAGTGAGGTTTCAGAGGCCGCACCTGCAGAATCGGCGATGCCTTCCGGCGGCTTCTTCCGCTCTTTGGGGTCATCACTTTGGACCAACTCCGCCAAGAAGACCTCACAGATCAGCCACCCAGATGCAAAGACTGAAGCAATGATAGAGGAAAGCACCCTGACAGCATCTGCCAAGGACCTGCTTCGTAGATGTGCTGCATACGATGCACGACATGTGGTAACACAATTACGCTCCATAGGTCATGATGTCAAGGATCCAGACAAGTTTGTGAAGGGAATCCTCAAGAACCTGAGTGATCAGGGATTGATCACTTCAATCGAAAAGGATGCCTTGCTTCTGCGGCTGGATGCTTTTGATTTAGATGCAAGCTCAATGCAGCGTCTCCAAAGAATGCCAAACGAGGCCGTTGAAGAAGTGGTCCAGAGAATGCAGAATGCTGACACCAGGATGGACTTGTCTGCGGCATCCATGCACCTTTTGAGTCTAATCAAAGAGGTGGAAGCCAATGGACAACCAATGGCAAAAACGAAAGCTAAAGCCGCCAAACAGCCTGCTGCCAGCAGTCAGGACAAGGTTGCCAAAAAGAAGGTGCTGGATGAGCCAACCATTCCGCCTGTGCCAAACCTTCAAGTAGTGGAGGACCTGGGGGAGAAAGAACCGCCCTCACAGATCAGCCACCCAGATGCAAAGACTGAAGCAATGATAGAGGAAAGCACCCTGACAGCATCTGCCAAGGACCTGCTTCGTAGATGTGCTGCATACGATGCACGACATGTGGTAACACAATTGCGCTCCATAGGTCATGATGTCAAGGATCCAGACAAGTTTGTGAAGGGAAGCCTCAAGAACCTGAGTGACCAGGGATTGATCACTTCAATCGAAAAGGATGCCTTGCTTCTGCGGCTGGATGCTTTTGATTTAGATGGAAGCTCAATGCAGCGTCTCCAAAGAATGCCAAACGAGGCCGTTGAAGAAGTGGTCCAGAGAATGCAGAATGCTGACACCAGAATGGACTTGTCTGCGGCATCCATGCACCTTTTGAGTCTAATCGATGAGGTGAAAGCCAAGGGGCAACCCATAGCCAAAAAGAAGGTGCTGGAGGCGCCAACCATTCCGCCTTTGCCAGACCTTGAGGAGGACAAAGTCGTTGGAAAGCCAAAGGCCAAAGCTAAAGCTGCGAAACGGTCTTCTGCGGCCAGTCAGAGCAAGGTGGCCAAAAGGAAGCTGCCTTTTCCACCTGTTCCAGATGTAGGGACGATGGAGGAGGAAAGGCCACCTATGCCACCCTTGCCGCTTTTGCCAGAGTTGGACCGAGGCTAAAGGGTGATTCACATAGGGGTGATCAAGCAGTTGCTCAGCAGTTGACAGTGAAAGGATGCACAGTCGACTTCGAGAACTTCGACAGCTGTCCGGTCAAAGAACACACGGTCAAAGCTCGGTCCGAGATCCGAGCCATGCGATGAGATCCGAGCAACGCGATGTTGTGTCAAAAGAGCTTTTTGTCTTGCTTTGTGACGGTGCGTGCACCTTTTGGCTGATGACGTAGAATCGTAGAAGTAGAAGAAGTTGAAACATGGAGCCCTAACAGATCAATCAAATGGATAATTGGCTTTCCTTTGCTAAGCCGGTGGCGGGAGTGCCAGTCGGGGCATGTGTGAGGATTTTGGTGTAATACAGTGAAATGTGTTTGTTTTGCTCGTTCTCTCCGCTCTGGCCTACTTTGTTTGTTATTGTCTGTTGACGTTCAAGTGGCTGCTTCATGCAACTTGATTTGGCAGCTTCAGCTTGCTCCATCTTGTAGCAGCTTGCTCCTACTTTGGGATTCTTTGGGTCCTTGCAGCCATGCAGATTTTTGCGACTCGACTGGCAGCTTGAACTCTCCCAGAATGCCCTTAGCAACTTTTTGCTGGTAGTAAGTAGGATTCTTTTTGGCTTCGCAAAGGTGAAGACCCTGACAGGAAAGACAATCACATTGGATGTGGAGGTGGGAGGATGACCTAAGCTTTACCACAGCTATGCCATTAGCTGGTTGAGAGGCCTCTGACACCATTGACAACGTAAAGGCCGGATGCCGAGTAGGACACCCACTGTGACGACCAGCTAGGCAAAAGACACACACACACAAAGCCTTGGACGCAGGCCAAGATTCAGGACAAGGAGGGGATCCCCCCAGATCAGACACTTGGTCGGCAACATCAAAACCTGGCTGCTGCTGCTGTTCAGCTGGGGTGGAGCGCTCAACATGCCCTTCAGCCAAGGCAGCGTTTGATCTTTGCTGGAAAGCAACTTGAGGATTCTAATTTGCATTAATTTTCATTGATTTGTTCACAAGTTTTGCTGGAGGTGGAGTGTGTGATGTCCTGTGATATGTTTTTTTGTCCTTCTCAGTCTCGGGAAACCTACAAAGACGGTAGTGATACTGAGCAGGATGGCCGTACCTTGTCAGATTACAACATCCAGAAGGACGCGCTGTCATCCCAACCCAGAGGGAGGGAGGGAGGGAGAGGGAGAGAGAGAGAGAGACGAGGGATGTCAAGATACAAGTTCTTTTACAATAGCATACTTGCTCTGTCATAGTGTTCATGTACAATGACTTGGTGCTATACGATGCACCTTGGATCAAAGGCCTTGAGCCTAGCCTAGCTCAGCCTAAGGACAGTTGCCAGAGGAAAACAATACAGAGACGTGCACAAACAAACGACAACAAACAGCTGCTGAATTTTACATGGTAGCGGAGCAAGGATCCTGGTAACAACAATCCAGGTGAGCTCCAATACAACAACAGGAACAGACACACAAACACAGACAACGGAGGACAAGCCTTGACCCTACAACAGGTAGCTTGTACAGCTGCAACAATGGCAGCACAACCAGCAGCAGCTCAAACTGGAGATGGCCCACCTCCAGTTCCAGAAGATGAGACAACAGCAAACATAGCAAACATGAACAGATACAAACTCAAACCACCCTTCTTCAATGGAGACTGTGGCACGTTCGAGGAATGGAAGTACAAGTTCACAGCATACATGGGATTGCAAGACAATGATTACACAGAACTACTACAAGCAGCAGAACGAGGCACAGCAGAACTCACAGAGGTACAATTACGAGCAGCGGCATCAACAATCGAAGATGGTGAACGACATGTTCGCCTCAGCACAAATTTGAGGTACATCCTCATCAACACAACAACAGGAGCAGCAGCTACAGTCTGCAGACAATACCAAAACACAATTGGCTTCGAGATGTACCGACAATTGTGCATCCGCTTTTCCATCCCATTGGGGACAAGATCCATAGGACACTTTGACAAGATTGTTGAAACCAACATTTGACAAGAACAACTTTGAAGAATCATTTTCCACGTGGGAATTTGAGCTACAACGATTTGAGCGAGACAATGGGCAAACACTCCCAGACTCCGTGAAGATTGCCGTACTGCTCAATGAGACAAGTGGACCACTACAACAACACTTACAACTGCTTTCAGGACAAAGTCCAAACTATGCACGAGTCAAACAAACAATCATCGAGTACTACAGATCAACAACAGCATTCAGCAAACTGCAACAATTACGATCACAATCATCCAGTGTAGCAACAAGCTTTGGTGGAGGACAAGCACCCATGGACATTGATGCAATCCACAAAGGAAAAGGGAAGTACAACAGTTACAAAGGGAAAGGAAAAGGAAAGAACAAAGGCAAAGGCTACGGAGGATACAACGGCTACGGCTACAACAGTTACAACAACAATCACAAAGGAAAAGGAAAGTATGGAGGAAAAGGATTCAATAATTACAACAACAGTCCGATTGGCTTCGGCAATCCATTCGGAAGAGGAAACAAAGGAGGCAAAGGATTCAGCAAAGGATACAACAAAGGAAAAGGAAAGAACAAAGGGAAACAAGCAACAGATACATGTTACAGATGTGGAAGAACAGGACACTATGCCAAAGACTGCCGAGTGGCAATACACAACATTGGACAAGGAGAAAGCAATGATTTTGAGGACACGACAGCACAATGGTACGATGACTGCTATGACAATGGATGGTACTGTCAACACTACACGAGACAACAACAAGGACAACAGCCATTGGCACTTCCGCCAATCCCATCCACCGGCAACCACGATATGACACCAATCCATGTCACCGCCATGATCAGCAATGGCAATGACTACAAGACAGACACCACAAGCAGCGGCGCAACAGACACTATGCACATCATGATCGACAGTGGAGCAGCCACACATGTCTGCCCACTATGGTTTGCAGACAACTATCCAGTGTACAAGATCGACCAAGCACAAAGCCCAAACCTCAGGACAGTGACGAACAAGACAATACAATGCTATGGAGTAAGATGGGTCTACATGCAATCAAGAGGACAACCAATTGTCATACCATTCTATGTGTGTGACATCCATGACCCAATCCTGTCAGTGACAAGACTGGCAGAACAAGGCTTTGACATCAGGGTCAATGACACTCCAACAATGCGCCACGACAAGGGATTCAAAGTTCCCTTGGTGCAGCAGCACAACCTCTACTACTTGCCAGCAACAATCATGAACCTGGGGCAACACCAGCAACTACAGCTGAGACATACACAAAAGGGCATGATTGCAATGATTGCCCCAACAACACTGACAAGACATGGACCACAACAAGTCCTCGGAGGCAATAGCGACTACTGGAACTACAACAATGAAGGATACCTTGTACGGTATCGCCGGAACAAGAGGAAAGCTCTCTTTGTTCCTGGCGACAATTGCCCAGTACCACTGGAGACATTGAGCAACTACAGAGGAACAATCATTCGACGAACAGACGGGAACAACGAAGACATTGTTGAACAATACCATGACATGAGCAAACATTAACAACGACGAGTGATACAAGGAGACACGTGGACAGGAGAAACATGGTTCAGAGTGAACAAGCCGCCAGCGCAACCGGCACCTACAACAGCGAAGACAACAGAGCAGACAGAGATAGCACCACAAGCAATACAGGCACGACACCAATCCACAACATTACGGCTCCCGGAAAGAGACGGGACAACACAACAGGCAAGCAGAGAGCCACTATACAGACACACAATGAAGAAGCCAGCGCCAACAACCACGGCAGTACCTGATCCATCCACAATGACACCGACAACAGATTACTGGATCAGAGAAGGACACTATTGGAAACGAGTTCACGTACAAGTACGGACGACAATGTACGTACCACAACAGACAGATGATGGTCCAGATATTGGACGACTCAAACACACACGGACAACATTCGTGAACAGAACGGAACAAGGAAGAGGATACACAATTCATGACAATTGGCAGGAATCAGGAGCAAGACAGCTTGACAGACAATGGACAGGATCAACAAACTTCGAGGAAGAAGCGACGTACAAGTACGAGTACGACACGGACAATGAAGATGAATCTCAACAAGCACAACGCGCCAAAGGGATGAAGGCGCCACAACAGCCAACAAGACAAGAAAGACTAGAACATGAGCTGACACATTTACCATACCGCTCATGGTGTCCAATATGTGTCAAGAGCAAAGGAAGAACAGACAATCGCCCAAGACAAGCAAGCAAACAACCAGTGATACAAGTGGACTTCACCTACATGAAAGCATTTGGAGACAAACAAGTACTACCAGTACTCACGGCAATAGATGTCGAATCAGGTATGGCAATGGCAGTTCTTGTACAAGACAAGAACCAACAACAACATTACCTGACACGATGTCTACAAACATTCATGTTTGAATGTGGACGAGCACAAGCAACACTATCCACCACAACACTACAATCATACCAAGAAGAATACATACAGAACCTCCTGAAGACCGTCGCGCAAAAGCTCGGAAACAACGTCAACATCCGACAATCACCGGCATACTCGTCACAATCACAAGGAAGCATTGAACGATTCCATCGCACCTTGATGGGACAAGTCCGAGCACTGGTACAACAAGTGACCACAAGCTACAACCTCACATTGAGCGTACAACATCCGGTCATGCCGTGGATTGTACGGCATGCAGCCTGGCTACTGAACAGGTATGCCATGCACAATGATGGACAAACAAGTTACCAAAGACGATGGCAGAAGGACCACAAAGCACCACTATGCGAGATGGCAGAAACAGTACAATACATGATACCAACAACAAAAGCGCAACCCAAGATGGAGCCAAGATTCTTCAAAGGAATCTGGCTTGGCAGGGATACAATGACTGGAGAATCAATAGTCGGCATCCCTGGCAAGGTCATCAAAGCAAGAACAATTCGAAGACAGAT